ACAATGGCTCGGTCATATGTATGATGAACACGAGACCGAAAACGCCATATGCATACGCATCAACATCGCCGTCGCAATGCAGCAGCTCTCCTCGCTGTCGTCGGTGCAGGATACCAGCAGCAGTAGCCAGTAGCATATTTTATCACCTGCTGGTCTTAGAGCAGCTAGGAAAATACACTTGTGCTCCTGAGCCGAGCCAATGGGGTGCATCCTCCCAATTATTAAGGCAAAAATAAGACATAGTAAAGTACGACTGACGAGGCCACTCGGAACAGCTTTTCTTAGGATCAAAGGCGGGGGTCCAAACCCTACTGCCACAGTGCCACTATACCCTTGAGCTAGCTGCTGTGACCATCAAAGACTGCAGATCGAGCACGATGGGTTTCTGCGGCTCGTTCGATGGGAGGGAGAGGGGATGCGTAGGTGCTTTCTGGTTGGCTGCGGTGACCGCGGGCTTGATAGCGATGCAGTATTCAATTCCAAGTGTTTCGATCGGTTGTTGGTGGATGTTTCTAGCTACAGTAGTATCAGATGCGCTGAACTGCCAACTGAATTTCATTTAAAAACGCAAAAAAGATGCAGACCACAGTGGCGGCCAACCATAAACTGCATCCATCAGAATGTATATGTAGAGCAGTAACCACTAATGGCCTTGCTGGCTCCAGCAGCACTACTGTATAGTACTCTATTGTGTGCAGAGTCACTGATACAGTCATATATGTATGTACTATGTGCTACGCATGCATGCAGGAGGACAAACAGGTGAGGAACCCTACAAATAATATCAGCCGAGACCCAGACCCAGAGAAGGCGCATTATTGTGCGCGTCCGATTGGCAGTGCTTCGATTTGCAGCTGCATTTGCTCCTTTGGTGTCATAGAAACCTTCTTTTGGGGCAGGGAAAAAAAGTTGATGGATGCCTGTCAGTAACACCGCGCCAATGATATGCCGGCGGTCCCCAACAGTCAACTCTCTTGGCTTTGCATCCATATGATTTCCTATACTAATAAAAAGGCAAACATTTCGAGCAGCAGCAGTAGTCCTAGCTAGCGGCCCTTTTCAGCGCCAGAACATGAGCTATAGTGCTCTGGAAATGTACTATACGGCCGTGCGGCCACATAAGAATATGCACCGAATCATTGTGCATGAGGAATCATCTGGGCAGGGAGCAGCTAGCTAGAGGATGGCTTCATCACTGACTTAAGTGATTGATTAATCATGATTGAGCTATACTAATGAGTGATCGCCCAAGGCGAGTTGCGGCCTAATCAAGTCCACAAGCTACAGGGATTGTTAATTAGGGATGCGCTTAATAGCGTGCCAGGTTACCGGCCAATCTGATCATCTCTAGAACTTGCCCTGAATATTCAAAGATGCATTCATGGTGTATACAATACTCGCGTGCACACTGTCACTGAGCAGCAAGCAGCAAAGCTAAGCTGCTAGGTAGCCAGGACCACAGCATCGGCGTGCATGGCTGGACGAGCCGGCCGGCCGGCCGCCTATGGTTTGTCCCGATCACGGAATCATGGACGAATCCACAGCACGAGTTTGTATATGTGGCTGCGTGTAGATCTCATCATCTGATACACAGTACTTGTATAGTATTTATAGCACAAATGACCATCTTTATTCGCTGTTCCCGTAGTACAGTACAATACAGGCTGAAAAAACAAACACAAGCTCTCCCCTGCTAGCTAGCTGTACAGTAGCATCACGAGCTCGCACAAGCAATGCGGTTATGCGCGGCCACTAAGCACGGCTGGCAGCTTGACACGAATCAGGAGCCATATTGGAAAAGTATTCTACGAGATTAACCGGAGCCGCCTGTCGCGGTAAGAAGCGGCAGGTGATCCTGCAGGGAGATCACGCAACTGGCCCTTCACATGCCTCCTGGAGAGGGTGTTGTACGCTGTACGGTGCAACCTTTCTTTTTCTTACCGTTCGCTCATGGTCACATCTATCAGTGTACGTACGTATGTGTGTAGACGTGTAGTTTATATCTTTACCGCAGCGAACGAACGAGATCATATTCAAAGCGAGAGATTAGACAAGCTGACACCCATGCATGCACATGATGTAGTAGGAAATAATCACTGTTAACTGATTCCATTACTGCATTTTACATAGACGACAATTGAACGCTGGACAGAGGGCGATCCTAGCTAGTTACATGGGTGAATAACACGGAGAACCTTCTTTCTCGTCAAGGCCGGCCGGGTCTGGGAACGGCAGGTAGCTTTGCATGTGCCTTCCGAGCCCGTGGGACAAAAAACAACAAGGGAGTACAGTAGAGTACTAGTAGACCAGCAGTAGTGGCTAGGTAGACACGGTCGGTCGGTCACTGTGTTATATGCATGGTAGCTGCTGCAGCCCCCAGCACAAGGCGTGCTGTTCGGGAGCAAGCGAGCGAGCGAGCTGCGTGGGCCTCCGATCGTTTTCCACGGGGGCTCGACCGAAGAACATGCACGTAACCACCGCAGGGTCCGCTCCGGAGGCCACCAGAGAACCATCAGAGAAAACTTGGGCGGGGTGGGGTGGGGTGGGGGTGGGGTAGTGTTGGCATGACGGGACACCGATCGCGACGAGCTGGATTGACCGGTGGTCGACCCGACCGGCGTCTTGGATCTGTGCTAGGCTATAGCTGGTGGGCCGGCCGGGGTTACACCCGCGGCCGGACCATGGGCGGCGCCGACGACCTCCGCTTCCAGTCCACCAGCCGGAGCAGGAACTCCATGACCTCCGCCGGGTCCTGCAGCGAGTAGGACGCGCTGGTCTCCTTGGCGCACTTGGACACCAGGATCCCCACGCCCTGGCCCCTCTTCCTCAGCACCTTGAAGGCGTCCTCGTCGGTGCGGTCGTCGCCGATGTACACCGGCAGGACGTCGCTGCAGCTGGCGAATCCTGGAGAGATGGGGCAGGGTGTCTGTCAGCGCACGGTTTCTTTTAAAAAATTTACGAAACGACAGTGGTGTGAAACGCAAGTGAACAGAAAGAAACCGGGACCGAAAACGACTGTCGTGACACTGACACGAACGGAAGATATATAAGTATGTGGAGTCGTCGTTGCGTGCGTACCTAGCGATTCAAGCAAGAACTCCAGCGCCTTGCCCTTGTCCCACATAATGCTGGGCCGGAGCTCGAAGACCTGTAAACAAATGGAGGTTCCGATCTTGATCAAGATCTTCACGAGGGAAAGGTCAACTAATGCTGTGGTCATGGCCGAGTTCATCGGCAGCAAGGCATTAAACAATAACTCACCTTCCTCCCTTGGGTGAGCTTCAGCATGGGGTAGTCCTTGATCACGGCCTTGACCTGCTCAGCCAAGAAGTTCCATCTCTGCATGCAGGGGAGGAGAGTGGTTAGTTCAGACTTCAGACGAGACGACGATCGAGGACGGATGGTAACTAAACTAACCGCACATGATGCGGCATGCCTGTTAATTAAGTGGCGAAGTGGTTGGGTTTCCCAAGGTAGAGTAAGGCTCGCCTACCTTTTCATCCACACATCTGAAGTGGACGGACAGGCAGAACTTGTTGTTCTCCACCTTGGCTCCAGGTGTGGACTTCGTCTTTTCCACAAGCACCTTGTACACCTGACAAAAATGTGATTCACCATCATTAGCTAGCCTCCTCGTGCACCACCGGCTAGATAAACACGAATGGACATGTGTTCTTCTCCTCATTTGTAAGGTAAATTGATTCAAGTGGCTGCTAGTGTAATTAAGTACCTCATCGATCATGGGGAGGAACTCGCTTGCAGGTTGGCACAGCACAGACTCCGGCTGCAGATTGGCATGAGGTGAGATTAATCAAAAGGGTTAATTAAGGATCGTCGTAGAGAGTAGATGTTATATACGGCGATGAAGGGGGAATGGGCATACATTGGAGCCTGGCCCCTTGATGTCCATGCCGTGGCTGCCGGCGTAGTACAGCTCGGAGAGGCCGACGAAGTTGTGCACCTGCACCGCCGCGAGAACAAAGCCAGAGTTCAATCATCACGCGCACTCACGGGCTAGT